AATTGATAAATATTTGATAAAATAGTAGATGTCGTTAATTAAGAATAACTTTATTTTTCGCATTTTATTTCTTTCTCTTTTACACGTACGTACATGATGTATATTATACATCATGAACAAAAATGTGACGAGAAAGTTGTATTCCTCTTACATAAGAACGTGCCAAAAAACGAAATGTGTTCTTCTCACGTAGATCGTCGCACAACTACACACATGGTTTTGTAATAAAATCTACAAGAGCAAAGCACTTTCCTTTTCTTTGATTATCTAATCCTTCAACTTTCTCTGCTATTGACAGAATAAACACCATGACATATCATCACAAAATATATAATCAATTTCTTCGTTTAAATTCTCACAAATAACCATAACCATACTTCCGAATTGTTTTTCATTAACTATCGTAACCAATTAACTTTCGTAAATTTATTTTTTTGTTAATCAATAAATTCCTCGTTAGAAAAAAAAGAAAAAAGAAATAACAAATTTCACTGACGGAAATTCGGGTTAAACAAATAGAACATTTCTATATGGTTTCATTAGTTCAACGAAAGTTTATTCCACCGTTCGTTGTATTTGATTAATGTTTCTTTTTTTTTTTTATTATTATTTGTAAAAATACGATTGAAAAATTAATCGAAAAGTACATCGTATCTTCTTTCAATCCTATTTAAATTACATTGTAAAATAAAAGTATACCGGGTGAGTCAAAAGAAACAAGATACACTCGAATATCATTTACGTTGGATTTAAATATCGATCACATTTTTTTGTTTTAATTGAAATAATTTGCAAAAGTAAAAACAATATTTTCAAATCATTTCGATGAACTATCATTCCACCACCCCCATAAAAAAAATTGATATACTAGAAATAATAATATTTATTTTTACTTTAACGTATAGAAATATATGATAGAATTCTCATGGAAGATTATGGGAAGAAAAAAGTCAAGAAACAAAATCGAGGAAAAGGGCGATCGTAAAGTACGAAGGGTTATAGTAAGAGAAATGGTTTTTTTTTGTTCTTTTTTTTTTTTTCACGTGGTAGTAAGGAAGATCGCGTTTTCCTAGTTGATCCATGCGTAACGAAACTACCACTCATCTTTTTCCTTTAAAACTTACCCACCCACCCCCTACTAACCTCCCTCCTCCCCACTTCTTCCCTTCACAAGTAATCTTTTCTCTTCATACTTTTCTCTTATGCATAACTATTCTCGAAATCGTTTCTCGATCTTTTCTCACGATAAAATCCATTTCTCCATTGCTGAGTTATAAAATCTTTTTCTCTTTTACACACACACACACACACACAGTTATATATATAAATATATATTCAAGTATTTTTCAACGGGAAGAGAATACGTGATTTTATATTCCACGAGAGAAGAAATTTTGTAAGTGTTACTTTATTTTTTGTTTGTTTGTTATTTAAAACTCGAAAAGATTATTCGTCGAAAGTTGAAACGTTTTAACAAAGAAACGGTGAAAGTATAGTAAAGTTTAAAGAAGTATCATTTAAAGTTGAATAAATTCGGTTTGATTTTTGGTTTTAAAAGAGTTTGAAATCTTTATTTTCTTATGTGGTACCCCGATGCAAATAAAATAAGTATTTTCTTAGTATATATATATATATATATATATAAAGATATATAGGTGTGTGTGTATCTGTGAAGATATATATATATATAACGTGAGCATGGAGAAAGGCACGATTGTTAAAGCTTCCCAATGTTCTTTTTTCCTGGTTGTAACCGGACTTTATAGCGCACGTTTGCCAAGCACACGGCATCGATATCGAAAGTAAAAGGCTACTTACCTTGTGCCTGTTCTCCAATACATTATGGGTTCTCAACCCATTTTATTATGCTCGACTATACGTTTCTAGACGGATTACCTTGAAATTGAAATCATTTTTCTATGTTACTTCAATTATTTTCAAATAATATATATTATATATTTAATATATTATATTATACACTTTAATATACATTATACAGTAATATATTATTATTTTTTATTTATTTGTGTGTGTGTGTGTGTGGAATATTTTGTAATATTATTATTAAGAAAAAAATTTATTCGAGGAATAAATCGCGTTCCTAGAAATAGCAATAAAAAAAAAAAAGCTATTATAACAGGAC